TTCATTTACGTAAAGAGAGACAACTCGTTAAAGCATAAGTCAAATAATCGATCGCACTCTTTCAACTTACTCGCGTCTTCTTTAATATTTGTATGTATAAAGTTAACAATTGTGTTTGATACATTCGTATGAGTTTTGAGTTGATCGAGTTTGAATATTCAATGCCATCGTGAATAAAAATTTGATTTAATAATTGACCACTTCACACCTAAAAAAAAACAATTGCTTATGTGAGGGTGAGAGTGGTTGGACACCGGAATAAGTCTTGGATAGAGGAAATGCGATTTGGAAGGGGTTCTGGCTAAAGAAAGTGTAGACGCACCGTGGGGGTTTGGAGAAGGAAATGTTGGGAGCCCGATGATGGTTGATTGTGAGAGGGTCCTTCATTTTGTTATTGTTTTAATTTTTTAATTTAATTAAAATTGAAAGTCGAATTTCTTTTTAATAAACACCATACAATATGGACCTCTAGCAATGTAGGCCACAATGTCTTGAAACACTAAGACAAAAATTGTTTCATCTTTAAATAATTTTACCCCATTAATAAAACTCTATTTTATTAAATTTGAAGTCCGTTCGAGTGATCACATCCTAAATTAACAATCACGCGATCGTGCTCCCCTACCATTTTGATAGTATTCGGTGGGACACGTGATTTGTTAAAGGATAGAATCCTACATCGAATACAGATATAAATATAAACCAACTTATAAAGGATTGTGTTATTCCTCTTAATAAAGTTAACCTTTTAAGATAGAACTTCAAATCCTAATATGGTATCAGAGCTCATTAAACTCTAACGAGCAATTCGATCAGGTTAAGACTCCAAAAGTGAGCATACGGATTTCAAAATTGGTCTGCTCAAATGAGCCACCATCTTGCGAGGGTATGTTAAGGATAAAATCTCACATCAAATAAAGATGTAAACATAAACTAACTTATAAATGATTGAGTTACTCATCTTAATAAGGTTGATATTTTAAGATAGAACCTCAAATCCTAATATGATGTACATGTTATTTTGAAGTATCTATTAATTTTGCGATCGTGCTATATATACATAATATGTTATATTATAGTTTATGTACACACGATCTGATGAGATATGATTGAGTCATAATTTTTTCAACCAAATTATATATATAAAAAAATCTCCACCCTCTTTTTGACACATTATTTGTATGTAAACCATTATATAATTTTTATCTACAAGTAGCATTATTCTTAATATTTTAAATAATCTCATAATATGTGTATTTACGATTCTTCTACATATGATTCGTTGACAATTAAATCATCTCTATCTTAATGTATAGTAATAAAGAGTATCACACTACAACCTCCATAATGTATTTGATAGCAAATATGAATATTCTTTTGTTGTGGACATTCAAATTAGTGTGAAATTTCATTTTTTCCTCATATCCCTTCCCTATACAATAAAAGAGCCAGTTTTGAAAATACTGTTCACACTTTCGTCCTA